CCTTCCCTGCGTGTGTGACCTTGTAGGCTCATTCGACATAGCAGTATAACCCGAAATCCCTATTTCGGGTATACAAGTCATAGGCGGTCTCTAGACAGACACTATGACTACCTATCTCGAATAGAGTTTGTTCGTGATCATACGAACTCCAGTGATGATTCCGGCAGATGATCCTTTTGTATCGCGATATCATATGTCGAACATAAGGCATGGACAAACCACCTTATCTGATTCGACTGCTTTCTCGTTCACTGAGTTCGACTGTCTGAAATAGACGACGTTCGTCTATAGTACGGCCACACATTTCTACAGTCTCGCTCACACGAGGGGCCCAGCGATATCTCTCTCTTTTACGAGAGGTACAAATCCCGTCTTAACTATCTACAATCCAGTACATGATTCGTTTCGTACCTGATACACGCCTTTATAGTTCTCCTGTTACGCAGAACGTTTGACGTATTCAAAGCACGCAACTCCTCATGTTGGATTCCGTAGATATCTCAGGTCTTAGGATCCAATCATGGAACCGCCATATGAGATTCAAGTCATGATGCTAGTCCATGTGACAATCTCATGCGGGTCAATCCAGTATTCCGTTCTCCAACGAATACCTATGACTGTGATTGTATCCAATACCTATGATCAACGCTATGATCATCAATCACACATCATACTAGTCTTATTATGTCGTTATTCCCATAACGACACAAGACTAGGGAGTTTAGTATCATTCATAATGATACACGGATTTCATAACAGATCTAGTATGCAAGAACATGTAATGAATCAAATACTCTCATATAAACCGTAGAAAATATCAATACATCGAATGTATCTGAACAAAGCTCATAAACAGTACATCATAGAGCACTAAACCAACACTGATACCATCTCAATAACATTAAATTGTCGAGTTTATATGTCACTGATCATTATTTAAATCCTGAATACTTTTATAGTAACTCTGGACTTGAAAAAAATATGGAGGTGGTTGATGGATTGTACTAATGTATTAAGAGATTGATGTCATTTCAAGACGTGCAAAATACGATTGTGGAATAGTTTTTGGCTTATAGATCATTTATTGATCATTTTGGAATTAATTTTGCAATAAGACAAAGGAAAACCATCTCTACGGATAAAAAGAATATAACTTTTGCTTTCTAGTTTTGTTTGATTTTAAAATTAATCTAAGATTCTAAGTTTATTATATTCATTTTTTTGGTTTTGTAACTCAAATGGTGGAAAAATTATGAATGTTTAGCTCCAAATTTGCAGGACTTGACAATCAAGATTTTAATTTTAACGTGTAGTGTTTTTTTAGTGTGAACACAATTGTAATGTATTTGATCAAGTAAATTATTCTTGGAAAAAACTCCTGAAAATTTTCAAACTTGTAATTCAATGAAAAATTAATTCCTGAATTTACAGGTGTTCTTATTTATTCCCGAACTTAAAAAATTAGATACGATAATTCTTAAAGTTGTTTAAAAGTGGCATAATCGTCCTAACAATAATTTTGACCAAAATAATGTGTTGAACAACCTTACATAGTGCGTGAATTGTCATGACACATCAGACTTTTATATCATGTATGCAGAATTAGGTTTAATAGACACAGTTTAACAAAATCGATTCATAATAGTAAAAATTATGGTTCACAAAAGATCTGGGATAACGATAGAGATCGGAATAATTATCATCACTACTGATTCTCGAGTTCTAGATCCAGATTGATGGCGTCTCCGCCAAAACAGGAGCGTTTGGCGTCGAAATAACCGTCATCGGGGCTAGATCTCTTTCATCCCAAATTTTTCGGTGAGAACGGCATCATTCAAGGAAGAGATGCGGCGACCGAAAACACCATCGATGAACCCGAAAGTACCCTTCAAATTGTTATTTTTAATGAACCAGAATTTTTACTATTATGAACCGGTTTTGTTAACCATATCTATTAAACCCGGTTCTGCATACATGATATTAAAATATGACGTGTCTTGATAATTCATGCGCATTGTAGGATTGTTCAACATATTATTTTGGTCAAATTTATGGTAAGGACGATTATGACACTCTTAAGCAAGTTTAGAAATTACCGTATCCACTTTTTTTAAGTTCGGGAATAAATAAGCACACTTGCAAGTTCAGGAATTAGTTTTCCACACATTGTAAGTTTGAGAATTTTTAGGAATTTTTTTCATTATTCTTTTATCACTATGGCATTTTTTATTTGTCATAAAATATTTGGATTATAATTTTATTATTTTTACGGTTTCTATAAAAGAAAAGGAATATGCTTGAACATAAAAGATTGCATAATTTGGTTTATATAAAATATAATCAAGCTCTTGTTCGTAGATATGATATTAAGAATGAAGTTAGATCTAATTATAGGTGAGATTGATACATGCAATGATTGGTGGTTTGGAGAAATGTATATTGGTAAAGATGATGGTGAAAATGATTTGATCTTCGAAAATGATGATGGATTAGATTACAAACCGTTTATAGAGAATCGAGATTTGAAGAATCTAGAGCAATTACTAGACAACAATTTGAAGGAGGAAATAAGGTTTCAAGATCAATATTGTCTACTTTTAATAGTAAGATGAAAGGAAAATATATAATGATAGAGAAAGAATCTTCCTGGTTAGGGATGAGTTTTCACATGGATTGCCCCGGTCCTTTGTAAGATGTAATTGGGCCAAATGCTCGGTGAACTTTCGGATTATAAAAAAAAAGAATATAACGATAACTAAAAAGAATTAGGATTCAGAAGGACAAAAAGAGAAATGAGATGCACCAGGTAATAATGAAGATTTTGATTATATCGGGTTAGAATTTATCGATGATGATATTTGATTTGTTGTTTTAATCTTAGAATTCAACTTATTTATCTTTTGTTATACGATCTTTGTAGTTTTTTTTTATATATATATTTATATGAGTTGGTATTTTATTACATTAGTCTACATGTGTAATCATTAACACGTTTCAATTCAGCAACGTGATAATGTATTTTTTTTTTTTAAGGTAAAGTGGACTTTTGCTAATTGATTCTATTTTCTTACCAGTGTATCAAAGAAACTGATGCTTACGTATTTGAGGTGCTTGCCCCCGTCAGCGTGTGCCAGAAAGAGCCGTGAGGAAAGAGAGAGAGAGTCCGATGACGTCAGCAGTATATACACATGCATTCTGCATATAATGGACGCTTTGAGGTGAAAATCATTCCGACCAGGTTCTCCTCCTGTGATCGCTCTGAGCTTGACTTCGTTGACAATTTGAGGTGAGAAAATTCTAACTTCGTTCTGGTCCGAGTTTCCCTTGGATTGTCGGAATTCGGAAATCGATAGCTCAGGTCTGCATTTGGGCGGTTCTTCCTTTGGCTAGGGTTTTACATTTTCTCGCTCTGATTCGTCCGCGACGTTGCTGGATTCCTAGGGAATTCGGGCTTCGATTCCGAGATTCATGTATTGTGGCTGAAGGAGAGGGTTAGACAACTCCATATTTTTGTTGAATGTCGGAGATCAGGGATTCCGGGCTTTCATTAATTGAGTGAGTTTGCCACTTTCATCGACAATCCGCTTGTGTCAGCATTGCCTTCTGTGGCCAAATTTGCTGGTTTTGAAGTCATTCCGCTTCTATTTTTTTTTCCGTTGAGTGAAGTGAATTGACCACCATAGGCCTGCTTTGTGTCTCGCTGTATGATTAAGTCAATTGTCGCACTCATCTTAGGTTCAGGAACAGCACGTGTTTATCCCGTCATTCTTAGAAACGTGTGAGGTGCAGGAAGAATTATTTTGCAGTATTTCTGGATTTCTGAGTATCAGGTACCCCTTTTAGGTAGGGGTGTCAAATGGGCCGGCCCGGCCCGACCCGGCCCGGATCCGTACTCGGCCCGAGAGTTTCGGGTTCGGGTTCGGGCCGGCCCGAATTTTATCGGGTTTATAAAATTAGGCCCAAACCCAATTTTATAGGGTTCGGGTTCGGATTCGGGCCGACCCTATTTAAAAATCTGCAAATTTAAATAGACACTAAATATCATAAAAACAAACTAAATATATTCATTAATAACTAAAAGTAAAACAAGATATAAAAACACATACCATGAAAATAAACTAAATATCTTTAAAAACAACTAGACAAATGGTCAAATCCTGAATTTTTTATACAAATCACTCAATTGTTAATACGTCTTCCGTCCCCATCATAGAGTGATCGCTTGTAGACTCTAACACGGTAGAAAAAGGAGATAGTGAAGCAGCTAGAAATCCATCCGTCGATTCCACAGTACCAAGACCTGATTCTATACACCGATTACAATAATCAGAATGTTAAACATAAACACATAAACATCTACGTCACTAAATCACAATCATGACAATGTTATGAAAATATATACTTACCAAATTCTTTAAAACCAAACATCCAAGAACGGGCACATAATAAAGCTTGTACGTTCGAAGGCAAAAGACGGCTTCTATACTTGTTCAACACGCGAGAACCAGCACTAAAAGATGACTCAGAAGCAACGGTAGTAATAGGAATACTAAGTATATCTGATGCCATAAGAGCCAATTCTACGCCATATCGTCCGGTATTAGCCTTCCAATATTGTAAAATGTCCATATCACTATGGATTTTGATGTTCATTTTACGATCAAAAAAATACCTATCCAAAGCTGATCCCGATCCATCGTCAGACGAATTACCATCATCACATCCATATAAATCCTATATAATACCAAACATTGAACAATGTTATAATCAAAAGAAATCATTGGAATAACTAATAAAACGAAGAAAAAGAATAGAACTTACCGCGTAAAGAGTCGACTTTTTAACCTTTTCTTTTGAACCGGCCACATTTGAAGGAGTTGAGCTTTTTGAAGTCGACACCGCAAAAGTAGCCTTGTATTCTTCAAAGAGTAAATACATCTTACTCTTCACTTTGTCCACTTTAATTTCACTCGTGTTTTTATCAATTTGGTCATAACAATACTTCAACCCCTTCAACTTCATCCTCGGATCAAGCACGGCTCCCATGGCAAGAACGATACTATATTCATCCCAATATTTGTCAAATTTCAATTGCATCCTTTCAGCCATGCTCTTAAGAATATCATCTTCGCTCCGCGCATATTCCTTCAAAAGCAGTTCGATCTTCCATACTTTCATAAAGTACAAGTTGGAAGTCGGATAATATGAGCCAGAAATCAATGTAGTAATTTCATCAAAGGGCTTCAAGAAATCGCATATTTTTTCAGCTCTTGACCATTCTTCATTAGACGGACAACACTTGTAATTTCTATCCATTATCTCAAGAGAAGAGAAAGCCTTTCGAAATTTGAGAGCATTATCAAGCATCTCATAAGTAGAGTTCCAACGTGTCGACACATCCATAGACAATGAGGATTTGATATCACTGCCGAGTTGGTCCACACAGCTTCTAAACTCTTTCATCCTCGATTCAGAACCTCTAACATATTTCACACTTTCTCTTATCTTCTCCAAAGCATCACAAATTACTTTCAAACCCTCTTGCACAATGAGGTTCAAGATATGCGCGCAACATCTCACATGAAAGAACTCACCATTACACAACAATCCGTTTTGCCTATCAAGTTGATACTTCAACATATCTTGCATACAGTCGTTGCTTGAAGCATTATCCAGAGTGAGAGAAAAGATCTTTCTCTCTAAGCCCCATTCTCTCAAACAATCAAGTATTTTCCTGCATATTTCCGTTCCCGTATGTGGGGGAGGCATAGAGCAAAATGATATGATCTTACTATGCATTCTCCAATCCTCACAAATATAATGCGCTGTCACACAAATATAACCCTCGTGAGTAATAGCCGTCCAAAGATCAGAGGTTAAGCATATCCTACTACGAACTTTTTCCAACTCAGACTTCAATTTTGCTTTCTCACTCTCGTAGAACTTCATAACATCAGCAGCAGCGGTGTTTCTAGAAATCATTTTGATTTCCCGGTTGGAATAAAGCATCATCTCTCTAAACATCACATGCTCAACAAAGCAGAAAGGAAGTTCATGAGCAACCAACATCTTAGCCACTTTTTCCCTCCAAAGTAGCTGATCAATCTTCTTTTCCCTCAATTTTCCATCATAACCAATAATCATATCATCTACCCTACCAAACTTGGGCTTTGCCTTGCAATTAAGTTCTACATGTCGCTTTAGGTGCGATGTTCCTTTTGCAGCCCCAGCAGAAAGCGTTTTACCACAGTGATTACAAGTGGCAAAATCAGGACTTATCCTAGTCATGTGATCCCAAACACATGACCCTCCTTTTCGTTTTTTACCACGTATCTCCTGACTGTCGCCTTCTTGTTGTTTAGAAGGAGGTCCATCATCGCTAATATCCATCACTTGTTCTTCTAGATCAACTTTTTCGCTATCCATTGTTCACAATCTGACAACAAAGAACAATATGAGAAAAAAAATACACAATCAGATTCAGATAGATAAAAATATACTCGACGATGTCAGATTCATTTCAATGAATGCAAACACCGAGACTGAAATAGTAAACTCAGAGTCTGAACTTGGATCATTCGACAAACATGAACTCGCAATCAGATTCAATCGAATGAATGCACACAATCAACCAACATAAACCCACAATCACATAAAGACACAAATAAACAAAATTGTGCAAACACAGACAATAGAAACGCATACATAATAATAGAAGACGAAGAGAGAAGATGATGAAGAAGAATATGCGAGAGTGAGAATTGGCCATCGTATACATGCGTGTCATGTCCAAGTTAGAATCATATCATTTTCTTATAATATATTAAATATATAAATTATTTGATGAAAATATCCTACCCGCATCTCAATCTAAATGTTTTATTCCCATACATACAAAAATAAAATAAACTTGTGGCATTATAAGGTGGTGTTAATATAGATACAAAAACAGAATAAATTTAAAAATCTAACAATAATACACTTGAAACAAATATGCATCTAACACTATTATTAATGCGACAAAAAAACATATAATATTTCTGAATGTTAATCGATTAGGGATTAATTGTAAATAAAATTCAGATTTTTTCTATAGATGGAACTCATAAATCATATATATATATATGTATAATATGTGCGTGTGTGTCAATCAAATCATTCCCTTTTGTATGTGTGGTTAATTATAAATTGAGAAGATTTATGAAAAAGCCCAGACAAGATAAATCCAGCTGGGAAACATCAACTTAAGGTGAAGAAGAAGAAGAAAAAGAAGAATAGGAGGAGGAAAATTTACCGAGAGAGATAGATGCGCCGAGATTGAGAGAGGGGGAGAGAGAGCCACGTACAACAATCGAGCGTGATGAGGTGATGGCAGAAGAAGAAGAAGAAGAAAGAGGAAGAGAGTCACTGGAGAAAGCCAATGATCTAGTTCAAGAGACAAACATGAGAGATTGGGAGAGATGGGCATCGTGGAAACAGAGTGGAGAAGAGGAGAGAGAACCGCTAGGGATTATGATTTTTTTTAATTTTATTTATTTGTTTCACAAAAAATTTAAAAAAGAAAAATAAATGGGCTTTTCAAGCCCGGCCCTAAACCCGATGGGCTTAGCCCGGTTAAACCCGAATCCAGTTTTCAGCCCGGCCCGAAAGCCCGATTTTTTTTGGGCCTATAATTTTAAGCCCTAACCCAGTTTTTTTTGGGCGGGTTAGGATCGGGTTTTGGGCTTCGGGCCCAAATTGACATCCCTACTTTTAGGGATAGCTTCGTAGCTAGTTCATGGAAAATTTCCAGTTAAGCTATTTGGCCAGTTGTGGGAAGCAATGGCGGAACTTTGCCTGATTGCAGGGCTGTGGGTTTCTGGTTTCAGGTTGGGTAGCTTTTGGAGTGAAGCCAGTGAGAGAAAGCAGCATGCTAGGTTCTGGCAATAACTTGAGCAGGGGTGTCGGGCCGTCATCAGATGTGCAACCATTGCCTCAGTGTTTGCCACTGGAACCAATTAGGCTACGCAATCAGAAGTATACACGCTCTGGAGAGCTTAGAAGGGTCCTCGGTGTCCCTGGTAGAACCTCATCAGAAGACAATTCTTTCGGAATTGCCCATCCCAGACCTTCTCCTCCTCCTCCTCCTGCAGCGACAGAGGAGCTCAAGCACTTCAAACAAAGCATGCGGGATACTTCCAGAGAAGCCGGGTATTTCTTTCGTATTTTACCTTCTTAAACTGTACTCTGAAATAGAACGAAGATGCCTTAAATATTTTTATTGATTAGTCTTGGTTGAAAGGATACCTTTATTGTAGGGATCGAGCAAAAAAACTAGGTGAATCCATATTCAAACTGGACAAGTATACGGAAGCGTTAACTTCAAGGAAACGGCGGCGTAATGATACATCACCTGGTGAAAGGATGGATGCAGTAAACCTAGAAAAGGTGAGAAGCCATATACCAAGAACACAGGACAGTATGGCTCAGAGATCAGGCGAAAGAAAAAAGATTTTAGGGTTGAACAAGCGTGCTCGTGCGTCAGTGTCTGATGTGCTGGTTAGTATCTAATATTCACTTTTGATGTGTAATGTATTTGGAGCATATTTAGCTATCCTCGCTGACTTTTAATTTCTGGTAATCTTAAATTACTGTTTCACGATTTTTCAAAAGTTTCTCTTTGAGAGGTAACATCTGAAAGTGTTTCTATTATTCTTCAATAAGGTTTATACTACCATTTCAAGATATGTTCCCAATGGTTTTTTTGGCCTTGGTCTCTCTCTCTGGTGGTGGCTGGGAGGAGGAAGAAAGAGGAGATTCTCACATGTCGTAGTTGTTTAATAATTTTTTTATGTTATTACTTTCAGGGGAATGGTAGGGTTTCTGCCCTTTCAAGACAGCAGGTAACAGAAAAAGATTCTGATTCTCTTCCAGGTATCTCTGGAGAGACCGTGCAAATTGAAGAGAAGATACGCAGATTGCCTGTCGGAGGTGAAGGATGGGAGACAAAAATGAAAAGGAAACGATCTGTTGCTACTCTTGGCGACAGAGTTATGAATAGTGATCAACGTGCCGTGCAGCCAAAGCTGACAGCTGACTCTAAGTTGCTTTCTTGTGACACCCAAAATTACAGGTATGTTTGAAATATATGAGATATTAGCGAATCTGGTTGTAACGGCGACTAGAGATAATCTGTTGATCTATCAATATTGAATTATTGGTACCCGTTGAAGCATGTAGTTATCAATCTTCTATTCCAAGGCTCATAACTAATTTTTTGTTTCACAAAAGAATCAATTAATCTTGTTTATAAAATCTTTGTTGTGGAATATAATGATATCCCAGTGGATGCATTTATTCTTGCAACTAATCATTCATGATATTCTTCAGTGTCCTTGTTCTAAATGTGAGCCAGTTTCTAAGCTATTCCCGATGATTGTCTATTTGCTTGACTAAAATGAATGATGAATCTACCCTGAAGTTTATTCGTATCTCCTTTACCCATTTCAGTACAACATCTGTGACGCAGAGTTTTTGCAGCATACCGCATTTAGTCCAGCCGATTGATGTCAGCTGCATAACATTATTTTCGAAACAAAACATAATGTGTCTCATCTGTTCCAGATCCAAATCTTCTTCCGGGCTGAGTGGAATTAATAGGCTAGATGCTTCTTTTGAGCCTCACAGTCCAGAAGTCGGTACATTGTCCAGGAATGAGATGGAGCCTGTTTCATTTGCACGGGATCATTCAGTGCTTGCTGAGCAAAGGCTTATGTCCAAGGGAAATAACAGGTGGGTAAACAGTAAACACATTGATCTCCTATTCTGTTACACGTGTAGCTTGTATGTTATAAGAATTTTGATTATGTGACTGATGCATTCATGTTTGTATATATCCAGGAGAAATTTGCAGGAAGATGACCTGGCAAACAGGTCTAGTACAATGTTGAAAGGAAAAGTTTCTAGGATTCCAAGACCAGGCGCCGTTATGGCTGCAGAACCTTCATCTAGAGTTGAGCCCCCTATCGGAGCGCTACGAGGTTTGGAGCAATCGAAACGTATTAACAAAATGTCAGGACTAGTTCTGGGAAACAATCACCAGCTTCAAATGTCAGCAGGTTCATCTCCACATGGAATGGCTCAATGGGTTGGCCAGAGACCACATAAGAATTCTCGAACAAGGAGAGCAAATGTAGTTTCTCCTCTCATAAAGCATGCTGAAAGCAATATTTCTTCTCAAGGCTTTTCAACATCTGATTTCAGTCCAAGAGCTTCCCCCGGAACCACTGGGTCATTCTCGGTTGTTGATAATACCTCTTTAAGGGTGAAAAGGGAGCTGAAGAATGCTTCATCACCATGTGGGTTATCGGGAAGTGAGGACTCAGGAGTTGGAAATAACAAACCGGGAGAGCATGCTCTAGAGAGTAGTGATGTGACCACTACTCAGAAAACAGGGGCACAGTTACTTTCTATAAGAAAAAACAAGATTCATTCTGGTCATAACGGAGATGGTGTGTGGAAGCAAGGAAAAGGCGGAAGTGGTTCGTTGTTGATAGCTCCCGGTTTTCATCCTAACACAGTTAAGATGGAGAATCTACGAATAGAAAAGCCTATTCAAAACGCAAAGATTGCGTCACAGAAAAATAAAAGGTGAATATTATGCAACTCATGCTTTTTATTTTTCTCCTTTACCGTGAAACCTTTTCTGTAATTTTTTTTTTTAATTCAAAACATTTGCGATTTCTATCTGAGTAGCAAGACCCTACCCTTTATGTGTGCATGTGTGTGTGTGTGGGTGTGCACGCCAGAAATTAATGGTCTGATTTCTCTCTGTTCAGCAGATCTGGGCGTCCACCCGCCAAAAAGCTTAAAGACCGTAAAGCTTATACACGGCTTAGCTCAAATGCAAATTCTGTTTCATCAGATGTCACAGGTATTTCTTGAACTTTTTCCTTGCCTTTATTTTGATTTTTTTTTAAGTTGCTGCAGGCTTTTACTGAGTTGCTGTTTCCGGATTGTTTCATTTAACTTTTTACTGGGGTGTGTTACTTATCTCTCCAGTGCAATACAACCCCATGAATATCTGAGTTAGGATATCGTTATGTCTGAATGGAATATAGTTTCTTGCCTGACTGAATGAGGAGAATATTGTTGTGGAAATGTAACCTTTGCTTCATTCATCTTTGTATATCCTTTTGAGTGGTATGCCACCGAGAAGAGGTCCCTTATGCTTCTGATGGTGCCATTTTTACGAGTGGAGTACTGAAGAAGATGTGGCTTTTTAGGTGAATCTGATGACGATTGCGAGGATCTGTTTGCAGCCGCCAACTCGGCACGGAAAGCAGCTGGTATGTATTTTCTGTCTTTCTGATGGTCTCCAATTTAATGATTGTAAAATGCTTGCTAAATTGAGTGCCAAAAAGAAAATGTGCTTGCTAAACTGCAAAGCTATTTTGAAGCAGATCATGCTTGTTCTGGTAAATTTTGGAAGAAGATGGAGTACATCTTTGCTTCTGTCAGCTCAGACGACATGCAATATATGAAGGATCAGGTAGTACACGGGGATACTGTAATATATACACAGTTTCTCCTGATAAACTCTTTTACATCTTTTACTTTTTTTATCAGCTTAGTTTTGTGGAAGAACTTGATATGTCGCTAAGAGAGGCAACCGCAAATGGGTATAATATCATGGTAAAATTTCATTATACTCATTTTCAGCAATTTTTGTTTCACTCCTGGAAGTTACAATAATGAAAGAGATATCCCTCTCCATGTTAGGGTGTCCTGATGCCCAAAGCTTCTCAGGGTCCTAGTGATGATACTGTCCACTTCTCAAATCAAGCCTCATCTATTTACGATCTTTCGTTTGAAAGATTGGACATGAGAAAGCTCAATGAGAGTACTCCACTGTACAAGAGGGTGCTTTCTGCTTTAATAGAAGAAGATGATGGAGAAGAAGTCGTCCAATTCGGTGAAGGGAAAAATCTGTTCCTTCATTACGCGAGCGATGATTCTCACTGTGGCTCATGTACCCACATTGACACCGAAACCAGAGAAAGGGACAGAATGGAATCTGAAGTAGAATCAAATGCAGATATTGAAACCCTGAAGAATTGCTTGTTTGACAGATTCTCTTGCGATAGGAATGTAAAGACGTCAGTTTCTGGCCGTAGCAATGAACAGTGGCTGGGAGGTGACGGTTTATTGCATTCTGAAATTGCACTCGGCAATGAGATATGGTCTAATAGTATGGATCAGTTACAAACAAGGGGAATAAACATTCCCAACTTCTCATCATCTGACTCTCAGTATCAGCTCATGTCTTTGGATGATCGACTTCTTCTGGAACTACAGAGCATTGGTGTATATCCTGAGGCATTGGTATGTTTAGTTTCCACTCTTTAAATCAAACATTCAGTTCATCTGTCAAGAATTAGAGGTAAGGACATGATATTATTTTGTTTCTTCTACTCATACGATGAAAAGATGTGATGTGAAACAAGGTAACCATGTTTGAAAGTTGCAAGTTGTCTGGTCCAATTGTTGTGTGGAGCTTATTATATTACCATTTCTTATTGGTATGGATATATTAATCATTTTCTTTTGATTTCTTTTGCAATTAGGGATGGGAATTAGAATGCCGTAAATCTAGTAAGGTCATGTGGTTAAATGTCAGTTTTATCGGCTCATGTTTTCGTTTATTTTTGTAACACAGCCTGATTTAGCGGAAGAAACAATAAGCTCTGATGTTCAGGAGTTGAAGGAAGGCGTGTATCAGCAGGTTAAAACCAAACACAATTGTCATACTCTACCGAGAATGCATAGGGTTTGACAGATTGCTTATCAGATTTGACCGCAGTTATGTTCTTTATTTGCTTGATTAGATTCAAAACAAGAAGAAGAAGTTGGAGAAGATAAATATGACCATACAGAAGGGGAAAGATGCTGAACGAAGGTTGGATTTAGTTGTAGTTCAGATTCATTACCACCCAAATGACTCATATTGCGACGATTTTTGTGACGAGTAACCTAACCTGTTTATTTTCAGGAAAATCGAGCATCTTGCAGTGGACCAGCTAGTGGAAATGGCTCACAGGAAAAGACTGGTAATAATATCAATGCATCGAATTCAAACTCGAACGGATGTTTTTGCCGTGATATTTACAGTTTTTTATACTGTTATATGTTGAATGAAAAAACAGGCAAGCCGTGGTAGTAAAGGGTCGAAAGTCCATAAAGTTTCGAGACAAGTGGCATTGGCATTTATCAAACGAACTGTTGCTCGGTGCCGGAAGTTTGAAGAGACTGGACGTAGTTGCTTTGCTGATCCCGCGCTTCAGGATATCCTGGTTTCTTCTCACAGCAACGATCTGAAATCTTCAGACAATGGCGGGTCCGGAACAGCCAGTAACACTTACAACGAACCTTCTAATCATAAGGCTGAAGCAAGAGGAACCGGTACGCAAAATCTTCTTAAACCTAGATGATGTTTCCTTGATAATTTCTTCAACCATTTCTTATGCTGTAGTAGCACGTACACTTAGTTAGAGAGGTGATCATTTTGGGTTTCGATTCGATTACTTCAGTTTTAGAAAACTATACCCATTTGGTTTTTATATTGGATTCGGTTTTTATTGATAAAACTATTCATTCTCCAAATATTTGTTTTTAAGATAAATCATATCCATTATGTTTTTATATCGAATTCGGTTGGGTTATGTGTTATTCTGTTTGGATCGGTGTGGTTTTTACATAACCGACCAAAATGACCAGCACTACAGTGAATCAGGTAAGGTAAGAGTATGATCAGGCCGGGAAAATAATCGAAAGCTGACATCTGTTTTCACAAGGAGTAGGTGCTTTTTAGCTTCACCCAAAATCCACTCCTTCCTTGGACGGAATAATCTTTTTCGCAGTCATTTTTTATCCAAGTGATTTATGGCCAGGGGTGGTGTCAAGTACAAAGAGGAGAGAAGCTCTGATCGACGATATTATAGGATGCGCTTCGTCAAAGGTCACGACACCAGGCCTAGACAGCGGTGGAAGAGACAGGGAACAGAGCAAAGGTTTGAGGAACAGAATGAAGACAGAACACAGTAACAGCCAGCAGCCGACAAGGACTAGTCACACAACTGGTCCGTCGAGCTCTCGACAGCAGGAGGAGGAGGATATAGAATTGGAGCTGAAGGAGCTGTATTCCATGGAAGAGACTGCTGATATCGGTAACTGGTTTGATGGCTTGCAGGATATTGACACTATGGGTCTTGAAATCCCCATGGATGATCTCTCCGATGTTAAATTGCTTCTCTAATTAACGTTACATTTTTTTTATTATTATTATTATTATTGTTGTTGTTGTTGTTGTTGTTGCTATATTTTTTGCTAAATATATCTCATCCATATTTGAAGTTGTTGCTCTTTTGGTTTTGGTTTTGGTTTTGGTCTTGTAAATTAGACTATATTTTTATTTATTTATTGTTTTATGTATAGCATTATATATATTTAATTGATGAATTTTTCGCATATTGTGCTTCAATTTCACTCTCCCATTTAATAATGTTTTATTGCAACATCTTTGCTAATAAAATATCATCCAAAGTTGTTTCCTTTGGTTTGGTTTCGAAAATAAGACTGTATAATGGTTATTATTATTCGCGCGCGCACACACACATCCAAGTATCTTATTAGATGAATTTTCCCCTTATTGTGCCGTGCGGTTGAAGCGAAGGTAGGATCGATCATTCTAGTCTATTAGGTAAGGTCTGTTCGATTGAAAAGCCATGGCGAAAGAACAAGGTCGGATAATTCATTATAAAAAAAAAACCCTAGTATATTTTTCTTTTTGTTTTCAAAATGACTCCATAAATATAAATTCATTACCAAATTACCCTATATTTAATAATATTATTAAAAACTCGGATCGGATATATCGAATAATTTAATTTTGATATACGTATCCGATCTATATATATATATATATATGATATTTGTTTGGGAATAAAGGATAATGATAAAATCCATTATAAATTAGAATTCTGCTCATTGGGCCTATATTAGGCTCTTATTGGGTTTTGTCTGTGCGGGTTAGGTTTTTTGTTCCTTGGATCCTTGCGCCCTCTTTCCCAAACCTCCGGTTGTAGTCTCAATAAATTCTGCTATTGCGCCATTGCGAAGGAGCCTCTCTCTCTCCTCCAGGGTTTCCTCTCCTTCTCATCTTCCTGGTACTCTCCCATTAGTCTCTTTCCATCGCCGTTGATTCTCCTTCAAATTTCATTTGCTCTTCTCTTTATCTCTATACGTTTTCTTTCTCCAGAAGCTGAAAATTTACCGCAGAGATCTCACAGAGCACCATTTTCTTTTGTGCATTGTTTCAGGAGCGCAATAGCATTTTGAGGGAGTACCAACATGAGGTGTGTGGAGAGTAACTCTTCTGTGCGGATTTGATTCAGCTTCATATGTAGTTTCGCATGTGTCTGTGGTTTTATAGATGCATGATGGCTATTGTACGGTTGTGAAGATAGGATTCCGCTTGCAGGTTTTCCAGATTCAAACCCTTTTCCCATTGTGGGATCATGTGATTGGCTCTTGTTATTATAGAATTCCAGCTCTTGAGTCGTGAGATGTTTCCAGTGTTTGTTAAGATGTTACGAAGTGAAGGGTTGTAATGTTTGAAGGAACGTTGCAGGGTGGTTTGCCTATAGGAAATAGGTTGAGCTTGAATTCGAGATAGAAATTTATAGTTCGTAAGAAAGAGGTCAATCGTTTCAGTTAGATGCTTCAATTTCTATTTATCCTGTAAATTAGGGTTACCAAAGATTTGTTATTGAATTGTGGGTATTGTGGGTCTTGCAGTAAGCTCCAGAGCGATGCAGTGAGAGAGGCAATATCCGCAATCCTCACGTACTGTAAGGAGACTAAGCCTCGCAAATTCACTGAGACTATCGAACTCCAGATAGGGCTTAAGAACTACGATCCACAGAAGGACAAACGTTTCAGTGGATCAGTCAAATTGCCTCATATTCCCCGGCCAAAGATGAAGATTTGTATGCTTGGAGATGCCCAGCATGTCGAAGAGGTAAATCTTCCCGCCCCCTGAATCAGAGCATAGGCTCACCGAGTTTTCAGCTGTTTACTTCTGGAATCGATCTGCAATTTTGTTCTTTTGAAGGTTTGGTAATGTTTTCGTGTAAGCATGTAGTGTGGTTACTTGTTGTTTTAATAGGCTGTGAAGATTGGATTGGAGTACATGGATGTGGAAGCCCTTAAGAAGTTGAACAAAAACAAGAAACTTGTTAAGAAGCTGGCCAAGAAATACCACGCTTTTCTTGCATCTGAATCCGTTATCAAGCAGATTCCCCGTCTTCTAGGTCCCGGTCTCAACAAAGCAGGCAAGTTTTCGACACCCGATTTCCATCCATCTTTAATTAGTTCATGGAATCGACATCTACATGATTAGCCTGCCTTCGCAATGTACATGCTTTAACAAAATAAACGTTGTGGCCATTTGTTTCCTCTCTTGTTTTTTCGACAGGTAAGTTCCCTACCCTTGTGAGCCACCAAGAGACATTGGAGTCGAAAGTCAATGAGACAAAGGCAACTGTGAAGTTCCAACTCAAGAAGGTCCTTTGCATGGGAGTCGCTGTGGGAAACCTCGCAATGGAGGAGAAGCAGATATTCCAGAATGTTCAGATGAGCGTTAACTTCCTCGTTTCGCTCTTGAAGAAGAACTGGCAAAACGTGAGTACCCTTTTACTCATCCGAGTACCGATCTTTGTCGATGGATTCTGAATTGTGAATTGTGAACTTTCCATCTTTCGAAGTCTCGTTCTAGGGTTTACTTTATATCATCTTGTAACATGCAGGTGAGGTGCTTGTACTTGAAGAGCACAATGGGTCCAACAAATCGTATCTTTTGAGATTCTTGGAGCTTTTGTGAAATTCTTGCCACAGGTAATAGAATACATATCAGACTCCTTTTTCTTTGTCATTCGTTTTGGACGCAAGAGTAAGAACATGGATTTTTTTTTTTGGTTAAGACGTCCATTTTGTATTATGAGAAACCTGTCTTAATCCATTTAATTATCTGTTTTTGTTGAAAGAATATGGTTTGCAGTACTTCCACATCATGGACCCATTAAAATTGGTAAGAATTTCTTGATGGAGTAGAGAGATATGTGTACGTATATGCATCACATGATATATTACAACTTGAAAAAGTGATGCCAAAAGAGCAGCTTAACGTTTCACCGATTGAAATTTATAAAATATATTTTATTCTGATACATTAATAATACCCATATTTTCGCATTTAAAAAAAAGGATATTGAAAAGAAAACGAAAACGAGCTCTATTGTTGCAAAACAAAAGTCAACTCTTTAGATCATATCACACTAACAAGGTCTTGTATAAAGAAATCTAGAATGAAAGTTCTGCCAATATAATATCTTGTATGATCCAAGCTTTACTATTGCGGTTTCGTATTTTTATAGGGGTATTAGTTTAAGGGAGACATTAAGAAAGCACGGAATTGTAATTAAAACAGATGAAAACGTGTTTATAACCAACCCAAGCTTTAATAGAAATGAAGCATTCGACTTCGAAATGCCATCAACAAGACTTATACCATCACAGGGAGAGAGAGAGAGAGAGAAATGGCAATCAGCAAGGAAGAAAAGAGCAATCACCTTTCTGCTGAAAGCAGACTGACCCATTTGACTTTCGACCAAAGCTCGGTCTATTATGGGTTTCACAAAACGATCAGAAGAGTCTACACCACTTGTACACGGTTTATTACCTAAAATATGCGCATTTCTTAAAACGAATACAATTTCAAACTCTTGGCAAGGGGAGCTGGCAGAAATCTCCGAGCTCATCCATAGCATCAAACAAGCAAGAACGTAACCTAACCGTAAGTCATAAATATGAACCGGAGTTACGAACTCGGACTCGCCTTTTTCAGGGATCCGAATGTTAAAAGCTTCAAACCCAGAAGCCGAATTTTATTCACTTCCACACATCTAACTCAAGTTCAGAAGCATGTACACGTTTCCTATGGAAAACCCATCTCAGAAATCTATTACCTCTCAAGCAAACTTGCAAAGTTGTGCATGAAACATTCATTATCCAGAGCATTTCTTTTCCACCCTTCTCCGAATAGCTCTGATGATTTTGCACCCAAGAGCAAGAAAAAGAGGCCGAATGCCAAATCGAACATAAACGAATATATTGACAAGAACAGGGTTCTCTCTAACAGTCAAGAACCAAGGTACGAGAAGACATGACATCCATGGAGTTTCTAGCCAATCAGTATCAACCAAGGAAGTCCAATCCCATAATAAATAAAAGAATGTCTACGAAAATTCAATCAATCTATGAAACCTGTTCTTCTAAAGACAGCGTTCCTTACCTGCCGGAGATCTCTTCCTTTGAGCGTCCTTCCTGCTCCCTCCAACACCGAGCACGACAACAGCGACGACTGAGCCAGCGACCGAGCTACGATCTCGTGCGGCGGAAGCATCTCGCCTTCCTCCTCTTCCTCCACGTCCACCACGTCCGCCAGATCGAACTCCTTCCGCTGGCGATTCATCGTCGCCCGTGTCATCACTGGAACCTTAACCGGAGCAGATTGAGGATACTTTCCACTACCGACTGACGACGACGGGAATGGGATCCTCTCCTGCGGAGGTTTCGGAGCGGTAGGAATCGCGCGCGCTGACGATGACGAAGCCGCCGATGCGCCGCCGGGGGAAGACGACGAAGATACGGTTGAGGAGACGGAGGGGGAGAGAGCCGCCGCTGATTTGTGGTGAAATACATGGCCGAGGTGATTGCTCCCGGAAAGCTCCGGGAGTGCGGCGAGGATTCCGGACGCCTCGACGGTTTTCAATCCGCTTCTGCTCCTCTGGATTGGGCGACCAGGCGGCGGCGGAACTGCCGAAAAAGAGGAATATGAAGAAGAAGAAGAAGAAGAAGAAGAAGAAGAAGAAGAAGAAGACCGAGGCGTGTGGGAGAGTTCGGTGGCGAAGATATCGTCCTCGTAGAGATCACCATCGCCGGTGGCAGAGGAAGAAGGGATATGGATGCGAGGACCTTGGGCGGTGAAGGTACCGAGAAGGCGATCGGAGACGGCGGAGGATTCACGGAGGCGGTTGAATCGGGAGGGAATACGGCCGTTCGGATCCATCGATGGGGCTCCGATTCGGTGATTCGGGTCGATGCGATATCGGCTCCGTCTTGCTTTCTTGACTTTAGGGCAATAAGGCTCTCTCACTTTAAAAATGTCATTTCCTTTCATAAATGATTCTTAAAAACAAAAAACCTAACAGACAGGCATTATCAAAAATATTATTAATTTGTTATTTCTATTTTAATATATACTCTTTTCTATTATTATTATTACTATGTAATCCATTGGACCCAAAATACTCAAAATACAAAATACAGTGCAGTCTTATATTGATCTTATTATTTATAATATTAAATTTATAATATTTTAATCAAATAAATAGTAAGATATATAAGATATAAACATAATTGAATTAGTGAGATAAACGTTATTATCAATAAAATTAAAATATGATCATATTATATTTTGTATCATATGGTCACAGTTGAAAAGACTATATGTTGAACTAAGAATAACTAAAGATATTTTTGATATAATGTCTAAGTATATACCCCAAAATCCGGGGTTAAAACAACCCATAAGTGCCTTTTAATTTTTTTATGCAATAGAAATTTCATAAAATATTCGTTAATTTGACTATAAATTGTTGGAATATTTTTGGTAATCTTCAAAAAGAATTACGTATATTAGTATTTAAATTTAATATATATATATATATATATATATATTAACATTAAAACTTTTTGATAACTAACCAAGTAAAACTATATATCATTACAATTTAAATTAATCTTTCCTGTCTTTTTTATTCTCAGCTCGATGCGACAATTTTTAATGTTACTTGTCGTGCGATCATCTATATATTATTTTGGCAATCGGTCATTTATTAAGTGTTTTTAATATTAAATAAAATATAAAAAAATAAAATATTTAATTAGAAATAAGAAGCATATAAAATATTTTGCCAGGAAACCCAATATTATTACTCCAGAAAATGAGATTGGAATTAAATATTTGTAAGTGGGGGATGACGTGGCCGGAAATGATAAGATAACGGAGTGGTGAGTTCGTGTGTGGAGAATTGGGGTCCACAAACACAACACCTCATATATATTTTTTTTTATTTTCCTTTCGTCGTTCAATTTGACCGATAATGTTTTTTTTATAACGGAAGATCGCTAACTGCTATCTTACGGGCGCGCTGACTAGATAAACTTCCGACCCGAGAGCAGCCTTTGTATATGGATCATATAAACCCAAAAATTACCTCACTCCTCACCAGTCAGGAATCGAACACTCAACCTCAATGTAGAATTATCTCCTACCCAAGTTTGACCACTCCCCTACGATTTGAATTCGATCGGTTGGGTTTTGACCGATAATATTATTCTTTAGTTACTAGAAAATACTAGCTACAATGTTCCGTATTTGCATTATCCTTTGACAAAAACTTCTATAAAATTAGAAAATTTGTCAATTTTTTAAAGTAAATAAAAAAAAAAAAATCAGGTACATTCTTTTTGTCACAATTTTAAACTTACATAAACTCTTACCATTACTTTTTTTTTCTAAAATATTATCGTACTTTTAAATTTTTATTAAAAAAATAGTAATCGTAAATCAGAAATTATATATGGCCAAATAAATGTTTGTCTATCGGGTAAACATGTCATTCGTTAACTAGGAAAGTATCTTGAAAAAGTTATTCCAACAACGTTCACCTTCAATAGCGGTATTATGAGCAAAGACGGCATATCAATCACCGAAATATCTTATATTATCGTGTGTCCAAACGAAGCAATCGTAAATCAGACAACACTCCCCAAACCTTAACTCCAAACATTGAGCATAACCCTAGATTTGTCTTGAAACCGATTACCCAATTTCTAAAATGATCCCTCAATAATTCTTTAGTTGTATATGTATTAAGCATCACGAAATCTAGTCGAGGTGGAGTCCAAACTATGTATTAAATGGTTCTAGACTTCTTTGTGGAGGACGTTATCGAAGATGTCTCATTAATCTTCCAAGAGATTACAAGAATATGGTGGGCTAATCTAGTAGTTATCCTTTTTTGTTGGAAGGTATGTCGAGAACTATAGTTTTAGAGAGTGATGCGAAATTCTTGAGTTAACTTTTTCAAAACATTGTAATCTAAACTAGCAACTAAACTCTTATTTTTTTTACAACATGTCACCTTCAAATCGATGGCTAAATCGAAAGAATATTTGTCTCGTGTTGAATTTGTTTACGATCGATGGATTCAGTCTACTAGGCAGTTTTTACGTCGTTTGCAACATGATATCAAATGAAAAAAAAGATCAAAATGATGGTCAAGTGTTATAGCCCAAACCCATGACTAAAATACCAAACAAATCAGCGTTTAAACTACAAGTCAAAGTCCACCGTATTTATAACTTTCTCTTCAACACTTTCTAAGTGTTAGATAGATTACCATTAATTCTAGTCAAAACATTTATGTTTATATATTTTGGTAATAATTTTGCTTTTTATAAATAGTTAAACTAAATTTATGTGTAATCATTCAATTATCTTCCATATATTTGAAAGATTTCCCTTTAAGTTTTCTTAAAGTTATTTGCAAATTTATTGGATTCATCTATGACATTTGTTTGTTACTTATCAGACATTAATCAATAGATGTTTGTGACTTTTTCGTAACACAAAAATTTATAATCTAAATTATTTTTAGGAGTTTATAATTGTTTTTTATTATAAGAAATTGAATTAGATTTCGGTTTTGGTTGTCTCCATCACTTTATATATATATATATATATATATATATATATAGAGGATTTGGATAGGAATCATATCAACGATGGGCAAAAAGGCAAAATGGAGTTGGACATCTGCCTTCGTCGGAGCTTCTGCGGCGGTGGCGGCGTCAGCTCTCATCGGAGCGAAGCCGAAGGACCCGACGTTCCACCTGATCTCCATAGACCTGACCTCACTGAAGCTAAACCTCCCGGCCCTAGACGCCGAGTTAATCCTGACCGTACACGTCACCAACCCCAACATCGCAGCCATCCACTACTCCTCCACGGAGATGTCGATCCTCTACGACGGAGCACTCCTCGGCTCGGCCGAGGTCAAGGCGGGAAAGCAACCGGCTCGGTCGTGTCAGCTCCTCCGGCTACCGGCTCGGCTGAGCGGCATGGAGCTCGCTAGCCACGCGCGGAGGTTCTTCGCCGACGTGGGGAGGAGGGAGATGGAGCTGCAGGCGAAGCTGGATATCGAAGGTGCGGCCAAGGTTCTGTGGTGGGATCACAGGTTTAGGGTACACGTGGACAGCGCCGTGACCGTTGATCCTGTTTTCCTCGACGTGATAGATCAGGAGAACAAGTCTCACATGGATCTGTTCCTCGCTTCTTAGGATTTTAATGTCTCTTATCCGGCATCGTCATTAATCTTTTAGGAGTTATATTATCTACAAAAATGAGTGATAATTAGATGCATGTGTAATTTATAAATTAATTAAATCCCAAAACTTCGAACTTTTCTTGTTCTTTCCTTTTTTTGTTTTCTTTTTTATTAAAATAATCTCTACAGTAAACGATCTTTTTTTTTTTTTGATATTCCGGGACTTCACCGAACTTTTAGTCCGACTACATATTTCAGAAGATCGGAAAAAACCAGGTGAATGTCTCTCTCCACGCTTGGGTTTGAACCCATGATGAAAGCATATTTTGCATGTTCTCTCACCACTATACCGTCCAAACTTGGATAACGGTAAACGATCCTAAATTGTATCTATTTCTTAGTTCTTTATTATTCTTTTAAAACGAGAGGTAAGGATGCATATATATTTTTTATCTATATTATTTTTTAAAATAAATATTTTAAATAAAAAATAGAGAAATATAGAATAAAAATTTGATATAACTATCAAATAATATATATTTTTAATAAAAAAATTTGAATGAAAAATAATTAAAATAAATGAAACCAGAACACGCTATGTTAACCCTAGGAGAGAAATGACTCGTGTCGGTTTTTTCCCTTTTTTTTGGGGGGCCTTCTAATCATCGCACTCTCTCTCCTTCCCTCTATATTTTTCACGCGCGACAGCCGACAGATCATTTTTTTAGTAGAGCTGAACAAAATCAATTTTTTTTTTCGTAAAATAATTGCAGTGTTCTTTATATGTGATATTTTATTAACATGGTTATTCCAAAATCTACATTTTTTATTATTTGGTATCCTAACTCAAACTAATCTCACGATCCAAAATCACCAATGTAATTTGAATTATACATGTTTTCTCCCTAAATTTAATGTTCGAATTCGATTTTCAAAATCTAAAACGGCTTTGGTTTGCTAACCCAATCTAATCTTTTTTTTTTTTAAATGTTAGAATTTTTACTACATTTATAAAAAAAAACGGAGTGATGAACTGCTGATTTATAAAGGGTCATGGATTAAACTATGGATCTCTTGACGAAGTAAAATTTTAATTTTAAATCTAATTTTTAGTTTGTAGTCTGTAATTCTTTATGAACTCTAACAGTGAGTTATTATTAACATATTGAAAATGAAAAAAAAATATTAAACATGATAAAAAAACTTATTTAATATGGTATTCTATAAATAGTGATGCATTTGGATTTTGGATTAAAAGAAATATAATGATGTAACTAGAAATTGAGTTAAAAATTTAAAACTTTTATTTTTCTTATTTTTGTAACAACTTATTTATTAGGTATATATATAATTTAACAGTTTATTTAATATTATATTTATTTGATATATATTTTTTTTATAAAAATAGAAATTTAGAAAAAAATTTGATTTGATTTTATTTGAATAGACAAAAAAAATGTATTTGGTTTATGAATTGAGTTGTAATTGATTACTATCAACTAATTTATAAAACAAATAAGTATTGATACGGACTAAAAAATTGTGGCAATCAATACTCCGCTCGTCCCAATCAACTTTTTTTTACACTCATGATTTTTTAGAATGAGTTAATTAAAATTGCAAAAAAATTTATTTATCTATAAATATTTAGAATGCAATTTCCATAATGTGATGTTATATATACATTACGCCATGAGACGTAATCATTGAGCCACTGACAAATATAATAAAAGAGAAAGACACCACCAACGAGCTATCCTTTTTTTTTTGTGATCGTCACAACCTGTCCACTATGAACTAATTGAATTATCATATTTATTAATTGAAAAAATAAAATAAAAAACTGAATTTGTGCAAAAATTAAAAAAATCCTTATTTTAGAGTAATTTCCTTTTTAGACTATAAGTGCAACACCATATTTTTTGAAAAAATCGTTTTTTGTTTATGTTGAACTCGTGACACTTTTTTTGGTGATTTTGCTGCGGTTCATAGTTTTTTCTTGTAGACGGCTTTTTTTATATGTAAAATAATTAAATTAACGCAAAAAACATTATTTACCAAATTAATGTTATATTACTTAACTCTCATTTTCATCGATTTTAATGTATTTGTGGAATTATATTTTCTTTTGTTGAAATCAAAATTTGTATGTGGTTTTGAGTCTCACTGTCTTCAAGAATAGAAATTTTTTAATACTAAAAAGTAGCACCCATACCCTTAATTTAATCCCTTTGATTAGGGTTTAATCAACATTTCCAGTTATTTCCCACCAAATCTACCCATCTCTCTCTCTCTCTCTCGGCTTGTGGTTTGCTTCTTCAATCCTCAAACCCAGAAAAGAACAAAGAACAGAGAGAAATTGGTTATGATTTCTGCGACCCACATTGCTTCAATCCAACTCCAGCACAGAATTCTCTGCAATATCCTACATCTCACCCTTCTCTTTCCTCGGAAGATTTGAATCAAAAAGCTCTTTTGATTTTTTTTTTGACAAAAGGTCGGGATTTTTTTTTCCCCTTTGGAACCGCCATGACTGAGGTCCTTCATTTCCCTGCGTCTCCAAGCGGTGCTTCTCCGTCTTCTTCTTCCTCTTCCTCCGCTTCTTCAGCCTCTTCCTCTTCTTCTCCTACACCCACTTCCTTATCCTACGCCTCCCGGTCCAATGCCGCCGCCGCGGTGCCGCTCCTAATCGGTTCCGACCACCGGAGAAGAAACCCAGTTCCGGGATTCGCGGATGATGTTGACTTTCAAGGCTCCAGCTTGACGGGTCTTGATGCAGAAGACGCGGAACAACGACAGCAGTTGCGGCGAAGCACCGGCGGCGACGGAGGGGATCAGCTCTCTCTATTGGCTCTTCTGGTTGCCATTTTCAGGAGATCTCTTGTCTCTTGCAAGAGCAACCGGAGGGAGTTCTGTTCCATGGAGATCGGTTGGCCAACCAACGTCCGACACGTGGCACACGTAACCTTCGACCGCTTCAATGGCTTCTTGGGTTTGCCGGATGAGTTCGAGCCGGAGGTCCCCAGAAGAGCTCCCAGCGCAAGGTACATTGTCGAGTTTCTTTTACTCCCTGTTCTTGAAATGCCACTGTAGGGTTTCAAAGGTTTCTGCCTATAATGGTCGATAATGCAGAACAATTCTTTCAATGGCCTTGGTTTAGTTTTCATCAGAGTTCACTGAGCAGAATGCCCAAGAAATCTTGAATTGAGGATTGCAACTTAGCGATTGTAAAGGCGTCGGCTTTAAGGTTGTATTCACTTGTGATGCAGAATGAGTCTCTATTATATCTGATATATCTCAAAATTATGGCCATTTTAAGTCGGGCATCCAATTATATGCCCTGTGTATGTTCATGATCAAGACTTGTGCATTTGCGCTACATTGCCTGATCACTTCTTGTTTGCTTATCGCCGGTAAGGATCAGTTGAAGCGTAAGAGAAGAGATATGTCATAGTTCCGGGACTTGAAGCTAGTTTCGATCTCTCGAGGTTTTTAGGTTCCTCTCCGGCATTATATTTAGTACCATGTCCCGTAATCAAATCTTGACCCGGATTCTTCGTATTTGTGATCTGTTCTGGTTAAACCGATACATGACAAAAGTGCCAAACTTTCTTTCTCACTGCATTCGCTTATGGCATTTTCTATTTAGATTTCTCGGATGATGATTCTCTCTTATGGGTTTGGAGGATTTTGATCACTTTTGCAGTGCAACAGCCTTTGGGGTATCAACAGAATCCATGCAATTATCATATGATTCAAGAGGAAACTGCGTTCCTACTATCCTCTTGTTGATGCAGAACTGTCTATACACACAAGGCGGCTTGCAGGTTGGTAATCTTAGTTCTGTTCTGTCTTTCTTGACATTCTTTGTTAAGGAAACATATATCGTAATTTTCAGGCAGAGGGAATTTTCAGAATCACGGCCGAGAATAGCGAGGAGGAGGCAGTCAGGGAGCAACTAAATCGGGGAGTTATACCTGAGGGCGTTGATATACACTGCTTAGCCGGACTTATCAAGGTATATTCACTCTCTTCCCGGAAAATTTTCTACTGAATTTGGCACGTTCAAGACTTCGAGATAATTGACATGCCGGTGTTTCAGGCGTGGTTCAGGGAACTCCCGAGTGGAGTTCTTGATCCTTTGTCGCCTGAGCAGGTGATGCAGTGCCAGACAGAAGAGGAGTTCGTTGAGCTCGTTAGGGTTTTACCCCCCACCGAAGCTTCCCTGCTCGATTGGGCGATTAATCTAATGGCAGACGTTGTCCAGCATGAGCATCTGAACAAGATGAATTCTCGTAACATAGCCATGGTTTTCGCCCCGAACATGACACAGGTGAGTGCCCCCGTAAAAGAATGTTTCTTTCTCCGTGCCATCATGCTCAAGAACGATGGATGATGATGATGACTAGAATCTCTTCTGGTTTTTGCCATAGATGGTTGATCCGTTGACCGCACTGATGTATGTGGTACAAGTGATGAACTTTCTCAAGACACTAATCGGGAGAACTCTACGTGAAAGGCAAGATCCGGTCGTGGACCTGAATCCCGGATTCCGTCTAGAACCTTCCGACGAGAGTGGCCACGAAAGCCCGTCTCAGTCTTTGACGTTTAACGTCGAGGAAAAGGAAGATACCAGAGAGCAAACCGAAGGTAATCAAGAAGGCTACTATTATATCCATGAGAAGAACCATTACACAGAACGTGCAGAGATATCAGATGAAGAAGATGCAGTGTATGACGAATCACCATTAGATTCGGAGAACGACGGGGGGAAAGGTGAGATCGGGGAACTGAGCGAGTCGGGTCTGGTAAACAATGGAAGGAAGACGACTATAGTGATGCCATACCTTCCGGTACAGTTTGAGGTGGACAAGATGAAGGGATTGAGCAATTTGAGCCGTGTAAACTCGAGGGTTGAGCGTATTGAAGCTTGGCGATGAATCAATAACAGAATAAAACTCTAAGAACCACGCCGTCTTCTTCTTCTTCTTGTGAAGTTTCTTCCTTTTTGTTCAATGTCTGAAATTGGCTTCTTATTTGTTGAACCTTCCGTACCGATCCTTAACCGAACCGGTTAACGGCATTAACCGGACGATTTTCCCCCGGTCCGTGCATGTTTCTTTAAGAAGTCGTCTACTCGTGAAAGCCAAGCCATGTTAACATCGTGTACTTTGACGTGCTTGTTTTTCCTTATTTTTTGGGCGAATTTAATTGCGAACTATTTATACGGTTTAAAAATTAAAATTGTGTTATAAATAAAATATATTTATGGTAGATCTCACCGTACTATTCATATCGACTTACTGTTCATATATATGGTACTGTTTATACCGACCGTATACGTGAGGAATTTCTATAAATAAGCCATTTGGATTCCTCCATTTGTACACTTTCAAGAGATATCAATAAGAAATAAACTTGTTCTTTATTCTCCTAAATACAGTTTTCGGTTTATAGTTAACGATGTAATATACGGGTCGTTAATATTTCTTCCGATTTCATAACACGTTATCAGTACGAGCACTCTTCCACAGCTAAAGAAAATGAATATGGCTAAATTTGCAGACCGATGAGGAGATATATGTTTGGTAAATAATGCTACAATACATACAATACTGAAAGACAAAAAATATTTTTTTGAATCTAAGAATAAACAAAGGAAATGTCAATACTATATATGGAAATGGAAAAATAATCGAAGGTTCTGAAAGAGTCGATTTCATAATGACAGGAGGAACAAAATTTACAGTAAAAGATACATTATTTTCCTCCAAGTCCCAAATAAATTTATCGAGTTTTAAAGATATCCGACAAAATAGATATCATATTGAAACTATGAATGAGGATGACACTGAGTATTTATATATCACTTCAATCCATTCGGGACAAAAGTATGTGTTAGAAAAATTACCCACTCTATCCTCGGGATTATATTATACTAATATCAATGTGATTGAATCACATGTCATAGTAAAACGGAAGTTTACTGATACATTCAAAATTTGACATGATCGATTGAGTCACCCTGGTACCATTATGATGAGAAAAATTATTGAAAACTCTCGTGGTCACCCATAGAAAAGCCAGAAGATTTTTCAATCGGATGACCTTTCTTGTGATGCATGTTCTAAAGAGAAATTAATAATTAGACCATCACAAGTTAAAATCGGGTATGAATTACCATCATTTTTAGAAAGAATTCATGGTGATATCTGTGGACCCATTCATCCACTATGCGGACCATTTCGATATTTTATAGTATTAATTGATGCTTCAAGCACATGGTTGTATGTATGCCTTTTATCATCGTGTAATTTGGCATTTACCCGATTCCTAACCCAAACAATTAAACTAAGGGCACGGTTCTCAGAGTACCCGATCAAGAAAGTGAGGCTTGATAATGTTGGAGAATTCACATCATAAGCTTTTGATGATTACTGTGTAGCAATGGGTATTGATGTTGAACACCCAGCAGCACACGTTCATACACATAATGGATTGGCAGAGTCATTAATCAAACGACTCCAGTTTATTGCCAGACCATTGATAATGAAAACAAAATTACGCATTTCTAACTGGGGTCATGCTATTTTGCATGTTGCATCACTGATTCATATAAGACCAAGTGCATATCATAAATATTCTCCATTACAATTAACATTTGGTCAAGAACCTAATATATCGCATTTCAAAATATTCGGATGCGCAGTATATATCCCGATTTCCCCACCTCAACATATAAAAATAGGACCACAAAGGAGACGTGAAACATATATTGGGTACAATTCGCCATCCGTTATGCGACATCTTGAGCCACAAACTGGAGATGTTTTTATGGCTCGTTTTGCTGATTGCCATTTTAATGAAAATGAATTCCTATCATTAGGGGGAGAAAAATAATAGAATGGTGGAAAATGGAAATGATCTTAATTGGTGTACACCATCATTATCCCACTTTGATCCCCCAGCAAAACAACGAGAACTAGAAGTTCAAAGGATTATACATTTGCAGAATGTTACAAATCAGTTACCTGATGCATTTGCAGATACAACTAGGGTAACAAGATCATATATAGATGCTGCAAATATTCCTGCTCGGATTGAAATTCCGAAAGAACAAACGAAAGAAAATTCGACAAACGATTCCAAAATACGCCTGAAGCGTGGACGACCTATTGGTTCTAAAGACAAAAACCCCCGAAAAAGCAAAGGGCCCAAGAAAAATGAAATGCTCGATTCGGAGGAACGTGTTCCAAATCAAAGAAATGAAGTACCTTGTAATGATGGTACAAATCTAGAGAATAAAAATCATTATATCTCAATTAATTATATCAGTAATGGTACATTATGGAATCGAAAAGAAATCAAAGAAATTGATGATAAATTCTCTTATAATGTATCAAAAAAATTGATGAAAATGAAAATCCAGAATCCATATCTATTTTGGAATGTCAAAAGAGATTAGATTGAAATAAATGGAGAGACGCAATACGGGTTGAATTGGATTCGCTTAATAAGCGAAAGGTATTCGGACATATTGTCATTAAACTGAAAGAAATTACTCCTGTTGGATGTAAATGGGTATTTGTGCGTAAAAGAAATGAAAACAATGAAATTGTGAGATATAAAGCTCGTCTTATCGCACAAGATTTTTTCCAAAGACCAGGAATAGATTACGAGGAAACTTATTCTCCTGTTATGGACGCTATTACATTTCGATACTTAATTAGTCTCGTAGTTTCAAAGAATTTAGAAATGTGTCTCATTGATGTTGTTACTGCTTATTTATATGGATCTCTTGACACAAATATTTATATGAAAGTCCCTAAAGGATTTAAAATGCCCGAAATATTGAAATCAAAACCACAGAGTTATGCGCTGTCAAATTACAACGATCATTGTACGAGCTAAAACAATCAAGACGTATGTGGTATAAACGCCTGAGTGAGCATTTATTGAAAAATGGATATACAAATGATCCTATATCACCATGTGTATTTATCAAGAAGAAGATATCTGGGTTTGTGATTATTGCTATATACGTTGATGATTTAAATATTATTGGAACTACCCGTGAAATTCAGGATGCATCCAATTATTTAAAGGAGAATTTGAAATGAAAGATCTTGGACAAACTAAGTATTGTCTTGGGTTACAAATAGAACATTTGAAAGGTGAAATCTTTCTACATCAATCAAATTATACAAAATGGGTACTAAAACGATTCAATATGGATAATGCAAATCTACTAAGTAGCCCGATGATAAATAGAACATTGGACATTGAAAAAGATCCATTTCGTCCTCGCGAAAATAATGAAGAGATACTTAGTCCTGAAGTACCGTATCTAATTGCAATAGGAGCTCTTATGTATCTTGCAAATTCTACTAGACCGGATATATCATTAGCTACCAATCTATTAGCAAGATACAGTTCTACCCCAACACGAAGACATTAAAATGAGGTTAAACATATATTTCGTTATCTTCAAGGATCTATTGATATTGGATTGTTTTACCCTAAAAACACAAAATAAAAAATTATTGGTTTTGCAGATGCAGGTTATTTATCAGACCCGCATAAAGGCAGATCACAAACAGGCTACGTCTTCACAATCAATGGAACCGCGTTAGTCTGGCGTTCTCAAAAGCAGATGCTAGTTGCTACATCAACTAATCATGCTGAGGTCATCGCATTACACGAGGCGAGCCGAGAATCAGTATGGTTGAGATCATTATCTCAACATATTCAAAAGGCTAGTGGTCCAAGCTCCAACAGTATTGTTTGAAGATAATGTTGCTTGTGTTGCACAGACTAAGGAAAGATTCATCAAAAGTGACAGAACAAAACATATCCCTCTCGAAGTTTTTCGCGTACATCCAGAAGCTTGAAAGGAATAAGGAGATTGAAGTCAAATATATACGATCATGTGACAATGCAGCAGATCTGTTTACCAAGGCCCTTCCGACAATGGTGTTTAAGAAGCATATATATATTATTGGGATGCGTCATTTATAGGAGCTTTGATGTCTTGTTCAGGGGAGCGTGTTGCTGTACTCTTTTTTCCTTATCAGATTTTATCCCATTGGGTTTTACTGATAAGGTTTTTAATGAGGTAGCACCAAAACACGCAACTATACTTTACTAACGGTGGCTCCAAAGGGGAGTGTTATAAATAAAACATATTTATGGTGGAACCCACCGTTACTGTTTATACTGACTTACTGTTCATATATACGGTACTATTCACACCGACTGTATACGTGAACAGTAACTTCGAGATTTCTATTCAATAGGTCATTTGGATTCCTCCATTTGTATACTTTCAAGAAAGAGATCAATAAGAAATACACTTGTTCTCCATTGTCCTAAATACAGTTTTCGGTTTATAGTTAACGATTTAATATTTGGATCGGTAATATTTCTTGCGATTTAACAACAAATTGATATTTCTCTGAAATAGAAGGACTGTTTTGGTATTCTTACGAAAATTAGGACGGTTTTTAGATATTTTTATATAAATAAAATCCATATTACCTTTTGTTCAAATAATATATATATATATATATTCATAGATTAATTTTTTGTTATAAACAGTTTTAGTCATAGATAAAATATCCAAAATACTCTGTGACCAGAATAACTATATGATCACATTGTTGATAACGTTAAATTTATGATGATTACACCAAATCACTATGATTATGCTTTACATATCACACTAATCACTTGATAAAATCATCAAAATTTTAACATTATGATTAATATAATTATACAGGTATTTTGTTCATATGATCTAATCCTCGAAGATATGTGGAAAAATGCCTTGTTGAACATTTTTAGTATTTTTCACATATTTTTGGCATTTCGGAATCTTTATATAAAGAAATTAGCTTTAAAACCCTGCGGGGGTCGTCCGTACAGTTCATGGCGACTTGTAGGGCTTTACTCTCCCATCTCCGCCGATCTCGCCATCTCTCCTCCTCTCTCTCCGCTGTCTCTCTCTCTCCTCATTATGTCTCCGGACCGCCGTCGCCGCGCGTGTACTCACTCCCCCCGTTTGAGCTTCCTCTGTCGCGCTTCTTCTCTGCTCGACCCGATCTGGACTCGGAGCCGACTCGACTCGGATATGAATCGGTCAATGGTGCGGGAACTGATGGCCAGCTAGGGTTCGTCGAAGTCAGCAGCGAGGTGATCGGAGCTGGTGCAGAGAGCTCAGGGTTTTTGACTCAACATGTGATCTCGTTGCTTGATTCGTACCATGATCTCACTGGGTTGCCGTGGTGAGAGAGAACATTCGCCGCTTTTTTGTTTGGTTTCCTAGAAAATATTTTCTGCTTCAAAACGATTGGTTCGTTTTTTTCTTCTCTGCAACTCATGGTGCAAAATCATGAAGGGTTTGTACTCCACCGCCTAGATTGGGAAATTTGCTGCGGCGTATGCATTTTTGCTTTTCTAGATCATAATTCGTGTTAGGGTTTTGGTTTATTTGTGATGGGTTTGGAGAATTTATTGGTTTTGTTAATTTGCCTCAGATGACTTGCCAGGTGGGTAGTGATTATTTCGTCGACTATGGCTTTCAGAATGGCTTTGGTTCCCATACTGGTTTTGCAGCTCAAGCAAACAAAAAGAATATCGGAATTGTTACCTCAGTGTGAGCATTTCCCTTGAACTTCTCATGGCTTTTCACTTAGAAATGGTAGATCTCTGGCTGGTAGTCTGACCATCCTCTGCGGGTTTCATTCATTTCGCCAATATGCTAATGATTTGGCGATGGTTTTGTAGTACCGCCCTTCTGGCCGCCTCGAAATTCAGGAAGGAGTGTCATTGATCAGTTAGTGCTTTTCCGCAAACAAAGAAAAGCAATTGGGTGCCCTTCATTTTTGTGGATTCCTGCTTATTTCTCCATTCAGGTGATTCTCTAATATACATTCTGGATTCTAAGATATCTGATCTGGCTTTCCACTCCGATGATTGAGTAATTCAATTATATCTAATCTACCTTAGGATTACCATCCTGAACTTTAGATGGCTACTTTTCTTTGGGCACAGAATTGAATCTGTCGTTTCCGATGAATTTGAGTGCAAAAAAAAGCCAATTGCCCAAGTATTTGATTCAAAGAATTACTGCATATTTCCATAACTGTCTCTTTGAGTGAGAAAAAAAGGTCTGTGGTTTACTCCTTGCTATTCTGCCTGCAGGTGTCATGTTTTTTGTTGTGGATAACTAGCATTAGAAGAATGTCGTTGGATCATCATCCTGGTTTTGATTGTGTAAGTAGTTATTGTGTTTGAAATTTATTTTGATATTACTTATTCTTCGCCACAACTTGTGTATTTCTGGTCTAGCTGGAAAGCTCTGGACAGCATTTAGTCAATGTTATAGTAAATGTTTTTACCAACATTTTGCCCTACTCTTATATCCTTACGCTCGAACCTTTTGTTCCATGATTTGCAGGGTGGGGCTTTATGGTTCCAGAATTTGACTGAAATTCCCAATGGCCTCTTTGGTCCAATTTTCCCATTTCTTATAGCTGGTTTGCATTACACCAACGTGCAGGTATTTGGTGTTGTTTGTTTTCGTAATTGGATCAAACCTTGACTCACTGCTAACCCTTTCCACATTCCATGTGATGAAGATTCTTTCCTCATGATATTACCATGCTCCAAGTTCCTGATTTTTAATATTTTTTCTACTGTAACTTATGCAGATAATTTTTGCGGGATCCTCGGTTCACAAATTTGATAAGTTCGAGGAATTGGCCAAAGTGAGTTTTTTTTAGCAGCGTAATAGTAGTCAGCCAACCCACATGATTTGTCTTGACTTGATAGTATGCAAAATTTGAAGGTTCTTTATGCTTGTTACTTAATTTTCCTAGGAAGTGCAATTAATGTATTTTTTTGGTTTCTTTTGCAGAATTACAAAAGATTTCTAAATTTTATGACATTTTTGCTTTATTTCCTTGCATACCAGATGCCTCAGGTAAATTAGTCTCTAATACTATCTCCCTCTTGTAAAATTTACATTTTACTGACCATTTGCATATTAGAGAGAACGAGGTTTTTACCAAAATCGTCTATTTGAAATACTAAACTTGTTCAATTACGGGCATTTTTATACTTTTATGTGCAGCATGATTTTCCTTCTGATTTTGCATGTCCTCTTATCACTGCATGATGTCTATTCCTGATTTTTTTAGGGCAAGTCCTCGAGTTTTGTGCATATATAATCAGAAAATAGATAAGTGTAGTATTCTTAACCCAAGTGAACTAGCTAAAGTTAGAGCTACCTTTATCAATTTCATGTTAATACCTGACAAAAGAGAGATTTTCTGTTCCACTATTTCAGTTACGGTTTTTCTAATTTCTTCTGTTATCTGATCAGAAAATTTGTTTCTGCTCATCGAGTTTTTGTTTGACTATTTCTTGTCAGGGAAGTCTGGTTTACTGGACTACTAATTTGTCATTCAGCATAGCCCAGGTTGGTTTTCATGATTGTGATCTAAGATCTACTTGTGCTAAATTCACAGCCTCAGGTTTATCGCCTGTACTGGGCAGGAATTTCTTGGAACAAATAGAATGAAGCTTCTAATAAAACTCATTTAAACGAATTATGTGATGAAAACTGGAGAAACTTAATGGGTAACGGTGATTTCTTTAGACTTGAATCTGTGTAAAATGGGAACACTATCTTGCCTTCATTAATGTTTATTATATAATTTATATTTGATGTATATATAGTATTTATGTTTCTATTGATATACCTATACACACACCCGGTTTCTCATATATTGCATTGGCTTTGTAGCAATCTCTCCTCAAACATCCGACAGTACGTGCTAAATTGGGTCTATCAGGAAATGACATTGTCCAAAAGGAGACTAGAAACGTTGAATCAACAAATGGGAATGAAGCGAAATCTGTGGATCCACCTGCAAAAGGACGCATCATATCCGCACAAACCTTAACCCCTCAAGAGTTGCTTTCTGTAAGTCGAGGATGATGATCAAGAACTTTCCACGTAGTTGGACGTTGACGCTATGGCCTCTCTAATCTTTTTATGTTTAACAGCTGTCTGTGAAATATTTATCAGAAGGGCATATAGAAAAATCAATTCCATTATTACGGTAACTTACCTTGTGTAGTTTCTTGTCATCATTCTGAAAAAACATTCCTTGAAATTGGTTGTCGTCGTTGTTCCTGTGACATTTACTTTGCGGGTTTCCAGACTGGCATTGGAGAAAGATCCCGAGTATTTGAAAGGTATGATCACCCTTGGCCAGGCTTTATATCAGAAGAACCAGTTCCCTGAAGCTGCTGAATATTTGGAGAGTGCTACTTCCAAGGTCTGAAATATGTCATCCCACTGGTTTTACAACGGTCATAGGGATTACCCTTTCGGATTTTCTTCTCGACATCTGATATTAATGGTATTATAGTTTTTTTTACCCTATTAATTGGATATGATCCCTATCTTTCAGCTTCTTGCTGCTTGTCCAACAGAAGTCGAAGATGTCGATAACTTAATAGTTGCGTCCCAATGGGCAGGTGTCTCCAATATACGCCAGGTGCTTCCTCCGTCATTTTTCTTTTCACATCTTGTCAGCTTGGTATCATACATTATCATGCTTTTTTATAAAAAAAAATCTTGTTCTGCTACTTCTGTTCTTGCAAGTTGCAAGAATCACATTATGGGTTCTGGTGATATTCCAAAGCTTTACCTTGTTACCCATATCTCATTGGATCACGAGTGCAAAGTCCTCAAGTACTTGGATTCCATCTATGTTACCAATTGATCTGTCATTCTCTTGGCCTCATCTATATATATATATATGACTCAAGTGCTGTTAAGTTGGATAGATAGCTTTGTCTGGTTTGATCATGTTTATGTCTTGAATGGATATATAACATATTTCAGGGGAAGACGCCGGACGGAATCACACACCTTGAAAGGGTTGCGAATATGAAAGAACCCGATGACCCGAAGAGCAAAGCTCATTACTTTGATGCGTTGGTACTTCTGTCAAGGTAAATGGTTCATATTGTGATGTATTCATATAAAGATGATAAAGAAAAAGAGTGTGTGAGAAATTTCTGCGTGTTTTTTTGTCCAGCGCTTTGTTCAATGAAGGCCGGAAAGATGAGGCAGCCAAGTACTTGAGGTTAGTCGTCGCTTACGACAATTCCTTCAAGGAATTGCTGAAACAATGTGAAGAGGAACGCTGAAACATCAAAGTCTCTTCTCGTGCTTCTTTATAACAATAATAATTTTTATTTGGTTCGTTAAAATAATTGAAGTGGTCACTATTTTTTTGGGGATTTTCCCTTGTATTTACTTTATGAATTAAGTTATACTTTTGATTTTATTTTATATATTTATTGATTAATGTTCTTTAAGTCTCGATTTTGCTTATTCATATAACTAATGGCTACACGTGCATTTGTATATATTTGTGTGCAGTGATATGAAAAAACAGTTAAGAGGAAGAGGGTATTTCATCTTGATATTAACGATTAATGAACGGTTCTGGTAATAGCAAGTGTCAAGGATTTAAAAGGTACACAGAATGTAATATGAATATTATAATATATATACTTATGTATATATTTTTTATTTAAAGAAAATCTTTACAAAAATATCAGATAAATATCTGAAGTATAAAATTTCTATATAAATATCTGGATTTTTCTAAAATTCTATATAAATATCTAGACTTTTGAAAAACTCCCAAATAAAACTGAAATCTGTTAATAACATCACCTATTTTTATTTAAAAAATACCTGAAATTTATATTTATTTAAGAAAATTTTTAAAAGTCTAGATATTATATATAAGATTTTTAAAAGTTCAGATATTGATATAGAAATTTTATAATTCAGGTATTTATATAGAATCTATATATATTAATAAAGGAGTTTAAAGGATTGTGGTGAAGACACCTAAGTATTCTACATGTCAATTTTTTAAATTTTGATTGGTTTATAAATCCTCATTAGGTACATCAACTTTAAATAAATAATTAAAATTAAAAATCTCATAATAAACTCATTTATATTATATATAGTATTGAAATATTATTAATTATATTTAATTTAAAAATTGATCTTGCTGATTTTATCTTAATAAAAATAACAAAATAAACCATAATATAAAAATCTAGAATGTAATTTATCATTAGTTTTATATATTATATTTTAAATTTATTTGTTATCTTCATAAAAATAATAAAATAAAACATTACATTCTATATATATTAATAAAGGAGTTTAAAGGATTGTGGCGAAGACACCTAAGCATTCTACATGTCAATTTTTTAAATTTTGATTGGTTTATAAATCCTCATTAGGTACATTAACTTTAAATAAATAATTAAAATTAAAAATCTCATATCTATATATATTAATAAAGGAGTTTAAAGGATTGTGGCGAAGACACCTAAGCATTCTACATGTCAATTTTTTAAATTTTGATTGGTTTATAAATCCTCATTAGGTACATCAACTTTAAATAAATAATTAAAATTAAAAATCTCATAATAAACTCATTTATATTATATATAGTATTGAAATATTATTAATTATATTTAATTTAAAAATTGATCTTGCTGATTTTATCTTAATAAAAATAACAAAATAAACCATAATATAAAAATCTAGAATGTAATTTATCATTAGTTTTATATATTATATTTTAAATTTATTTGTTATCTTCATAAAAATAATAAAATAAAACATTACATAAAAATTTTGGTTATAGAATTTTATTGAGAAACATATGTTTCACGTTCGAATACATTTATTGACTGTTATTTTATTGTTGGGACGTTGGATCGTTTCGCTGACTTCTATAATTTGTTCTTCCTAGAAAAACAACACCATAAAAAAATTTCATAGAATTAAATATCCTTTAAAAATTCACAGACATTTTACTTCCCAATCGTGCCCTGATCGATCCCTGATACTCTCTCCGACAACTCCAATGTCCGCCGAATCTTCGGCGTCTTAACGGGGAGGGAGAGGTTGATGTCGGCATCGCGATCGGATTTCTTGTGAGGAGAGAACGCGACAGGATCGAGTCGTCGCATCCGTTAACCATGCAGCCGTGGAAGATTCCGGCGGCTGCCATCGGGGAAGCGTACTTCAGACAGTGATGATAACTTTCTGTAATGAAATGTGTATAATCTTTTATTCTCTTACTTTTGCAGTGCCCCTTCGTCGTAGACCCGTTCCAAATGTACTATGCTCGGGCTAAAGGGTGCCGATGCGGTATTGCTTCTCGCTACTGTGTTGACTGATCTAGAGATTACTTACATGCTTAAGCTCTGCAATAGGTTAGGTCTCGCTTCACTGAGGTCTGTATATTATCGAGCGTTAAAGTTTTTGCTGGATCCTTCATTTTGTGCATGACGAGTTGCTAAAATATGTATATGTATATGTATATATATATATGTATAATATTTTGTATGGATGTATGTATATATATGTTTATATTTTTATTTTTTACTTTTTATTTGCATGTATATGTGTTTATATTTGTGTATGTATGTATGTATGTATTTTTTATATTAAATTTTTAATTTTTAATTTGTGTATATGTATATATATGTGTGTGTGCTACGTATGTATGTATATATATAGATGCATTTATGTGTATAATTATTTGTGTATATATATGTATATATCTATATATATGTACATGTGTGTATATATGTCTATACATATATTCATATGTATTTGTGTATATATGTATGTCTATGTATAGAAATATGAATATATTTGTATGTGTATGTATATACGTTTATATGGAGTGTGTGCTACGTATGTATGTATATATATAGATGCATTTATGTGTATAATTATTTGTGTATATATATGTATATATCTATATATATGTACATGTGTGTATATATGTCTATACATATATTCATATGTATTTGTGTATATATGTATGTCTATGTATAGAAATATGAATATATTTGTATGTGTATGTATATACGTTTATATGGATTTATATGTATATATACGTTACTAATTAAAAATGATTTTTTTAAATTAATCTTTCTATATTTTTATTCTTACAAAAATCATTTATCATATGTAATCCCTAAATCAATGAAAATAATGATGTTAAAATCAAAAGAAATATTAAATCAAAGTAAATCTTAGACATCAAGAGAATATTCAAAGATCTACAGAGAGAGTAGTCAATAGACATAAATTATTATTATTATTATTATTATTATTATTATTATTATTATTATTATTATTATTATTATTATTATCATGTCTCAGATTTTGAGCTTTGCTGACAGCAAGAGTTCTGTTCTGTCTTGATTCGGTTCTTCTTCAGGGAGGCCTCGAAAAATTGGAAGCAATAAGGAGTGCCGGTGTAAAGGTCTATACTTAATTTGAAACCCCCCATTGGGTACTTCAGACAGTGATGATAACTTTCTGTAATGAAATGTGTATAATCTTTTATTCTCTTACTTTTGCAGTGCCCCTTCGTCGTAGACCCATTCCAAATGTACTATGCTCGGGCTAAAGGGTGCCGATGCGGTATTGCTTCTCGCTACTGTGTTGACTGATCTAGAGATTACTTACATGCTTAAGCTCTGCAATAGGTTAGGTCTCGCTTCACTGAGGTCTGTATATTATCGAGCGTTAAAGTTTTTGCTGGATCCTTCATTTTGTGCATGACGAGTTGCTAAAATATGTATATGTATATGTATATATATATATGTATAATATTTTGTATGGATGTATGTATATATATGTTTATATTTTTATTTTTTACTTTTTATTTGCATGTATATGTGTTTATATTTGTGTATGTATGTATGTATGTATTTTTTATATTAAATTTTTAATTTTTAATTTGTGTATATGTATATATATGTGTGTGTGCTACGTATGTATGTATATATATAGATGCATTTATGTGTATAATTATTTGTGTATATATATGTATATATCTATATATATGTACATGTGTGTATATATGTTTGTACATATATTCATATGTATTTGTGTATATATGTATGTCTATGTATAGAAATATGAATATATTTGTATGTGTATGTATATACGTTTATATGGATTTATATGTATATATACGTTACTAATTAAAAATGATTTTTTTAAATTAATCTTTCTATATTTTTATTCTTACAAAAATCATTTATCATATGTAATCCCTAAATCAATGAAAATAATGATGTTAAAATCAAAAGAAATATTAAATCAAAGTAAATCTTAGACATCAAGAGAATATTCAAAGATCTACAGAGAGAGTAGTCAATAGACATAAATTATTATTATTATTATTATTATTATTATTATTATTATTATTATTATTATTATTATTATTATTATTATTATTATTATTATTATTATTATTATTATTATTATTATTTATGAATGTATAAATAGAAATAATTTTTAATAAATTTACAATGACAGTTTACTATATTTTCATTGGTTTATTAACGTCCACATATATCATTTACTTCTTTTTTCCTAAATAAATCAAATTATATTATGTTCGGACGATCACATTCCTGTAAGTATGGGAACATATCGAGCAAATCACATTCATATCAGACATATTTTTCATTTAGATCACAATACAAATAACATTAGATAACATATTATAAAATTAATATTAGATAAAATGGAAATATATATATATATATATATACGTATATATTTATTTTATATTTTATTATTTTATTTTGTATGAACATAAAAATTATTATATTTATCTTTTGTTTATTAAATTTACATGATAATGATGATACGGTATTTTTAACCCACATAACAATGATATATCATTAAATTCGTTTAATAATTAACGGAGTTAAAGAGGATGTATGCTTATGGTAAGTTTTAGAAAAATAAATTGTAAAAATTTTGAAATCCGTATATCTATATGAAAGTTTTTTTGAAAGTTGATGATCTAAATATATATGACATAAAATCGAAAAAAATCCAAAAACAATTATCCAAATTTAAGACAATATGCGATTGAGTAGTTTGAATAGTATTTTTTCACTTAAACAATAATGAAAGAGGTTTTTTGAGTTTCCAAATGCAAAAAACAAAAAAAAATTCTATTTATTAAAATACATATAAATCTATAGATATTTTATAGATTCAATATATTAAATAATATTTGTATTATATTAAACTTACTAATAATTTTTATGAAACAAGTATTCTATCATTCCACACATCATTATCTATAAACAAAATATAAAGAATTAAAGTCAACATTAAAATATATAATCTAATCTTTCTTAAAACTATCTCCGAGAAAATGGGAATAAGGGGTTTCTACCCAGGGTAAGAAAACTCTGAGGAAAACACGAAGAGCAAGGAGGAGAAAGAGACCGGTACGACTGAGGGGAGAGGTCGGTGAGAGATTGCGGAAGAAGAGAGAGACGAAGAAGAGAATGGATTTGAGAAAATGTTCTGAATCGGTCGATGGCGTAGGATCTTAATTCATGGAAATCTGAAAATTTGGTTTGATATCAGAAACATGGATGCATATAGAAGTGGAAGAATTCACAAATATGAGAAGAAAAAATGAAGTGAGAGAAATCTATGGAAGATGGTACAGATCTAATAACAAAATAAATCAATGAATCGATGAGTTTAATTGTATTCCATATATTAACCCAATTCATAACTAAACACGTGTTTGTAAAAAAGGACAGAAAAAACCTTAACATATATTAAATAAGTATAAGACACCTTATGATTTGCTAATGTAAAGTGGAGATCTAAAAAATAAAAAACTTACTGTAAAAAAATCTAATAGTTTAAGATTTTGTATATAATTACGAAATTTTTTAAATGTATATAATTTATCAAGTTTTGCGTTTGTATGAGATGGATGTATATATCGATATGTTTCAATGTTCATATGCTTCTCCATGTATGGTTTCTGTTTGTGAAGTCATTTGATGTGTTGAAGTCATTTAATCGTGGCGTAAGCCCTAATAGTCTCTCCAACAAATCTAAGGTTCGTCGACTCTTCAACATCTCGCCGGTTATGTCAACTCTGTCTCCACCGATTCTACTCTATCTTTGTTTTTTCTTAGTAAAATCTAAGTTGGTATTTGGTTTTGTCATGTATCTTTTGAGATTCGATCCACAAGAGCAGTACAATTGGTGGAAAACAAAAGCAATGGAGGAACAACCTTACTGGTTCAAAATATGGTTCTGAATTGTGAAAATTGTGACAGTGATTCTCCATAAACGTGTCTTTAACTTCTCGGAACAATGTTTGATCATTTCTACTTTTTTTAAGGTGGTGTTATTGATATTGTTCATATTTTCGTTGATTTATAATTGGTAATTATCATTTTAGGTTCATCTGTTGTTATGAGAAGAAACACGTCTGCAAGTCTAAACTTCACATTTATTTATTTATTTATTGTGCATGAAAAAAACTATATTTTTTATTTAAATTTAAATCCCTCAACGATAAAGATAAGCTAAACGAAATACGAAACTGGACCGACTAGGGTAAACAAAACTCTACGTAATGTGAAGTTAAACTGAAAACCTTTATATCAGTTGTGGAATTACAATCGAAGCGAAAAAAAAATTTACATTAAAAAATTAAATTTATAATTTTTCAAGGGTGGTTTTCTTCGTATTCTGCTTCAAATCGAAGGCGTAAAGATGAGATATTTATCAAAGAGTTTTAAAAGTAAAAACAAAATTATAAAAATAAATACATGAGGTCAACAGAACAAATCAAATTAACAAAAGACTTATACTCCATTAAAAAATAAAGATATAATATATATATATATACATATAGATATATTCATAACAAATAAAAGTACAAAAATATAAATACATATATATACATAAATATATATGTACACATACATATATTTATAAAGATTAAAAAAACAAATCAACAATAGGACATCCATAATATATAATTCATATCGATCTTATAAATCTTTTACATAATGCTATTCATATTTTCTCACTTTTTTACTTATTTAAATACATATTTTACAACAATTTAATATTATGATAATACTTCTTCTAAATCAAACAAATAATATATATATTTTTTTACTAAATCTATATATAAAATCTTTATAATAAAATAAAAAAAACACCCGCGCGATCTCGCCTAGTTATTATAAAAGTTTAGATATTTATATACTATTTATTTTAGTTGAGGTAGGCTTACTGTCTCATTAATTGGACATGCTACATCGTCATCCGTAGGACAATTTGATCAATACAGTAAATGCCAACAAATTAATTTCAAAACAATAAGTTTAGGGTTTTTTTACTTTTGTTAAAAAAGTAAATAAACTCAAATTTACAAGTTTAAATTTTTTTTCATGAAAACTTTTATAAATTCAATGTTTTTTAATGATATTTTTCAAAAATAAAAGTAAGCGTATGTGCGCAGGCGCAGCTGTCACCAAGACTGTCAAGCGGAACAACTTTAATTTAAATAAATATAATCAGAAAATAAAAGACATGTGAAATCGATTCGACCGCCTGTCTCCTCGTGTATTGACTTTTAATCTTGTGTTTGTTTGTTTTTTCCCTTCAAAAATCATTTATGAATCCCAAAACTAAAAAAATGTGTGAAATCGGTTTGTTTATGAGAAAATCCGAAAATCGTTTTAGGATTTGAGTAATTGGGTCTGAAACAGATGAATAGCGTAATTATGATATATGTTAAAAATTGCAAAACATGTAAATCTTTTTATGGGCACTACGAATATAATAATAGATTAGATTTAAAATCCTAATATAAAAAAGAAAGAATCGTAGAAAAAATCTTGTATTCTTCTCATGTCAACGAAAAAACTCTATATTTTTTTGTTTACCAATTAAACCATATATTTGGTGTGATTAACCTATAAAATTCCGAACATTTTAAAAATTCGCCGAAAATCTCCGCATCTACCAACTCAATCAAAAATAATGATATGGCAATAACATGACTTCCAAATCATACACATATCATCATTTCAAATAAAATTTAAATTGAATAATTTATTTAAATTAATATATATATATATATATATACATACAAATCCACACATACATATATATATATATTAAATATAAAATTACTTATAACTAATAAAATATATATACATATCTATAATCAATATATATATATTATAAATTATATTATAAATAATATATATACATATACATATTATTTTTAATATATATTGTATATATGTTAGTTATAATTATTTTTATTTTAATATATATATTATGTATGTATACCCCAAATGAATTTGAGAATGATGCGATGTTGTTGTATATTATGTATGTATGTATATAAATAATTTTATTTTTAATATATATATATATATATGAATTTATATGTATATATATTAATTTAAATAAATTATTTAATTTAAAATTTATTTGAAATGATGATGTGGCATAATTATGATGATGTGTTTATGATTTGGAAGATATGTCATTGCCACATTATCATTTTTGTTTGAATTGATAGATTTGGGGGATTTTTGGCGAATTTTTAAAAAGTTCGGGATTTTATGGGTTAATCATACTATATAAGGTTTAATTGGTAAACAAAAAAATACATAAATTTTTCGTTTACATGGGATTTACCTAATAAAAAATAAATCCAAAATAGAATATAATAAGATTTCCGCAGTCATATCAAATATAAATGATAAGTAATACATTCACTTATCTTTTGGAGAACATTGGCCCTAACTTTTAATGAACATAAATGCTTATGATTTATGTATCCACCGGAGGGACGGAAGCACAAGGTTAATATTTTGACAGAAAAAAAAAACCTTAAATGACAATCAATTAAAATAAAAAAAGAGTAATAAATTAAAATGATTTATAAGATCGAAAGTAATAAAAGGGTTTACAGAAATGCATGTGTTTATCCAATTAACTAAAACTATGTACAAGGCAAAGCATTGAATACTAGAGGGACGTAAATCCACAACGGATATAGTTATTCATTTATAAAGTACCCTTAATTTTTCCGAACAATCTAGAAATTATATTATCATTTAAATTTATAAAATACACTAACTTTTATTAAAAAAATTATCAAATTATAGTTCAATGTTTTAATAAAATTCCGATTTAGACACCGGGGAAGGCAGAGCAGTTTCTTCGCTGTGCGGAAACAGAGATGCCACGTAAGTCATCGGGCATCGGAGGAACATAAAACCCGAGTTAGACCAAAAGTCTTTTACTGTCAACTACATCGAAACAAATTTTTCGAATACCAAAATTCAACTTTAAAGTATATCATTGAAATATCAAAATAAAATTGTTAAACAAAATCTTCTGAATTCTTTTATTAGTAGGTTAAGATAAAAAATTTCTGTATTATTTTATTGGCTGGTTAAAATTTGTTATCAAAACATTCGCTATGTTATTTTATCAAATAGTAAAAATATAGTTAAATACAAATTATAAAAGGAAACAAACTTATTTTTTTATTGATCACAAACTATTCTAAACGACGTTAAATTATTAACCGACATTTTTAAATCTTACACATTCAAACTAATTCTCGTTCAAACATTGAATCTCTAATCTCTGATTACGAGACTAAAATGATAAACCACAATGTTTGAGATTAGAAAACAAACTAATTAAAAATAAAAGGAATATATATATATATATATATATATATATATATATATACACACAAAAAAGACACATATATATAAAAAG